GTTGTATTGTTCTCACTCGTTATCCCTCTTATGAAGCGACAGGAAGCAGCTGAAGAGCAGTCGCGAAATTTTTTGGTGCCAATAAATCCTGCTGTTCTTGCCTACTTCAGCTTCGTACCGGGGACAAAATGCTTCAAATTCCTCTGTTAACCACTCAAAGAACTTCAAGGACCCTACCACCGGACGGCACACCAATGCCATTGAGGCATACTGGAGCAGACTGAAAAGGAAATTCCACGAGGGAGGCGCAGTACGTGGTCAAGCTGTGCGGGCTCAAATAGACAAAGTACAGTATCGTCTTTGATTTGTCCTCAATGCCATGTCTTTGAGAGATGCCTAGGAAGTGTTTCTGTCCCATGCTGTGCAGGCTTATCCTATTTAAAAGTGATTTTGTTTTGTAATAAACTGCCATAATGGGAATGTATGCCGTATATTCAGGTGTATGTGTGTAACGATGGGAAAGGTTGGGTAACAGTGACCATTGTCCATGTAACCTCCTGCGATGTTCGTTCGGCCAGCCCACGTTAGGCCGTTTCGGAAAGTCCAAGTATTGCGTGAAAGTAGGCCTGCAACCGCTGATATAGCTTGAAGGCGTTTGAGTCCACTGTTAAAGGTATTATTTCTAGGTAACGGATTTTTTTGGGTGCCATCTCCAGATTGTTACCTTCGATACTTCCTTGCAACACCCACTGTCGGTTAGGTCTCTCTCTCTCCCTCCCTCTCGAGTTCACACATTTCCTAACAACCGACAGACAACTCTTTTCTCCAATATTCAGACTTGCCTGAGGACTGCAAACTGATTTATTTTCTTGTTCGGTGAATCCTACTCACTCTCTGACTATCGCTCAGTTTGGCCATGTGACTTGCACAGTCCTGACGAGATGAGGTAGGGCGGTGCTTCTCCAATAACGGTGTACGCTTCTTACAACCTCAAGACCAAGTGATTTTCGCTGGAGCTTGGAAAAGCAGTCCTGCTTGATCAACAAATTATCACTTTCGTACTTCAGCAGGCGCAGTACTACTGGCGGATGCTTTCAATTAGAGGTGCTTGGGGGCTGCTGCGATTACCATTCACAATACCGTTAGGGTCTGGGTTTTATGAATAGGAATAGGGTTCGGGTTTTAGGGTCAGGGATAGGGCTAAGGCTTAGGATTGGGGTTTAGGGTTAGGGCTTTATTTGGCACCCAATTCTTACAATTTGCACCTACCCGTTACGTCTGATTGGTCGTATTATTGGACGGTTCACTTTCGGTGACCTTGACGGACCAATTATCTTTATTCTTCGTGGAATCGATTTTGCTGGTTACCTTCAGTGATTATTTGTGGAGCGCAGCTTACTCCGACATTTTAGTACCCATTAAAACAAACTAGCATATTTGCCTATAACACTTACGTTTTCTCTTAGTTTTCGCGCATTTTTCACCGTTTTCCTACAGTCCCACCCATAAAGGTCTTTTTACCGCAGTTCCCGAATTAGACGCGCCTGGGCTTCCCCATTTCACAGAACGACGGCGTTTCCGAGACTTACCGATTTTCCTCGAGAAACCGTTCCATTTTTTAGACAACTAGACCGGTCCAATACTGAGGATGAGTGATTGTTCAGACCTCGGCTGCTGGCCATTCGCACTGTAGGTGTGACAAAAGAAGAGGCGTTCGATGGGAGAAGTTTATTTGAGGTCTGACGTTTCGCGTCTTTATTTCGTCTACCCATTTTCACAGACTCGAGAGTCTTGGGCACAGCCCTCATTATATGGCGCATTTGTATTGACGCGTAACCCGCTAATACTGACCGTTGGCCTGAATCTGACCCCCGTCTCACCGTGGACTGTGTCGTCCTCCGCCTACGTTGACCGCTTCGAAAATCGGCAGCCCCGATTTTTGCACGCCGCCCCTGCCGCCTGTCGAGACGGTTGGCAAAACCAGATACAGGGATGGGGGTGCAAACTGATGTGACGGTTCACTGGGCAGTCAGTGATCATCCAGGCCTTTAGCTCCTATCTTGGTGTGTGATACATGTCTCGGCCCACAACCTCGACGGCGTCAAAGTTGAAGATGTGTTTTGTCTGCGCGGAATGGGTTGCTATTTCAGACTTTGGGTCCAACATTTGCGCGGCCAACTGACGCTCATGCGTTCGCGTTTGCAACTCTTAGGCGGTTTCTTTGACTGACTTACAAACGCTGCAGTTCCACTGTCAAGTCAATAGACAACGGCCGACTTCTCCTGATTAGGGGTAAGGTTTTTGGTCACGTCGCTTGCCGGCGGATTTTTGAGCCAGACCTGTGAGCGAATTCTATTCCGAGTGGCGCGAGGAACCTAGTCACGGCCTCGGTGGCCATCTTCGCATACGGAATGCTCTCTATGACTTCGGCTGACTGCACTCATAATAGCAATCGGCTCATCTCAACGAATGCTCGCGGATAGCCGTTGGCTCTGAAGAGTTTTCAAATAAATTCAATCACGCCCCGTCTGTCGGCTGGTGCGCTCCACTGAATTTCTACCCACCGGTAAGGCGTGAGTACACAGCTCCCTTTGTGTTGCATTGGATGATTGGCGCTGTAACTGACCATTCGCTGTGTGTTCGCTGGCTAGCTTACCGTCGGGTTCACTACTACTATATTTCCCATCGCGGGTGCCAACTGTTCCACCTTCGGTATCTCAGCCACTGTGTACTTTCGAATACTAATTTATCAGGAACCTTCGCAGGATTCCATCATCCGCGCAGCAGATCGCTCCCAAAGGCATTTCGATCCGACTCATGTCTCAGGTCGGCGCCCCTTTGTACATCATCATCATCATCGTCATCATCATCATCATCATCATCATCATCATCATCATCATCATCATCATCATCATCATCATCATCATCATCATCATCATCATCGTCGTCGTCGTCGTCGTCGTCGTCACCACCATCATCATCATCATCATCATCATGCGACAGCAGCAAAAGCATTAACATCATCATTGTCAGTCTTCCGTTACTGCTCAGTCAACAAAGCATGAGATAAAGTTGGCATCTCTCCAGAAGGGCCTTATGTTTTCCCTGATCGGAAAGCGTTATCAGTCGTGTTTATAGGTTTCATCTATCTTCTCCTCAGTTCTAATTGTAAATTGTAGCTTCTTGCAAAGCAGTAAAAAAGGAAAAGCAGATTCGAAGGCAGTCAGACTCACTTTTTGTCATTGCAGCCGGAAATTATTTGTATGCATCTTTTTGATTTCTGGTTGAAATAGAAGCCTGCCCGACATAGACACTCATAGCCTATTGAGTACATATGCCCCAGCAGGCCTTTATATGAGGAGTATATACTATCGGCGACGCTTTCATCATACAGCGGCTTGCAGATATGCTGAGAGTTCGGATCCTCGTCACATATCCTCGGCCGCCAGCAGGCGTTGGGACAGGTTCGGTTGGTTTTCTGTGGAAGGGGGGGGAGGGGGAGATGAAGCAGAAGGAGGCAGGACAATTTCGGATTGGCTGACTGCAATGGGCTACAGAAGGTTGTAAAGAAGATGAACACACGATCTCTGGGACAGTAGGTATATTATACTGATCTTTCGGTCTCGTACAGGAGGCCATCGTCAGAGACTGTGAGAATGCGGCATCAAACGAGCAGTTTTTGTAGTTAAGCCATGAAGGGGGGGGGATATGAGTGCACAGGGTGGTATTCGCGATAAGCTAAGTCATACGCCGTCTCACGGCGGCGTGACTGCTCATTTGATGTCGCATTCTCACAGTCTCTGACGATGGCCTTCTGTACGAGACCGAAAGCTCAGACTAATACACCTACCGTCCCAGAGGTCGTGTGTTCATCTTCTTTACAACACGAACCTGGGATTCGAATATTCGCTTCCATCCGTACAGAAGGTTGGTTGTGAGTTCAACCATAGGCGGTTTGATAGTGCTCTCACCTCAATCTCAGCAGAGTGGAAACGTTGCTTAGAGCTGTCTTCACGTGCACAGAGAAGCAAAAACTGTAATAGGTTCAGCAGACTTGGTGCACACATAACTGAAAAGGCCCCTCGGACTAGTAAGACAATGTCCTTCAACAGAGGCGCACTCTAGCTGCCTTACTGACAAATATTCGATACACAAGCAGTCTTTAATCATAGTACTGATTTTCAGGTTTTTTAAGAAGAAGAAGAGTGCAAGCGGTCGGCTCAAAGGGGGGTTTAACTCTTCAGTATAAAAGTCCCCGCTTGAATCTGATACAATGTACAGCAGATCCCCGTATAAGTGGGTGTTATAAAGCTATTTACAGAGACCAATATCTCATGAGTTTCGGCTCGTACTGATACAATCGATTGGCATAGCCCATCGACCCCAGGCAACAATTCGCCGCTGCCTGACGCAACCTACGGACCCATTGCCACCCGCTGAAACCTCAGCAGTTATCTACAAAATAAATTGCAATGAGGGCGACTGTAACTATGTGGGAGAAACTGGGTGGAAATTGCAAACTCGCTTACAAGAGCACAAATCGGCCACTCGGAGGTTAGACCCTAACTCTCAACTAGCAACACACGTTGGAGAAACAGGGCACACTCCAGAGGGCTACCGTCTTAGGTCGAGACAACACAAAAGCAGAACGGCTAACTCTCGAGGAGTGGTTCTCTTATGCCCACTCTATAAACAGGCATCTGGACCTTCCTACGTCATCACAATCGTAGAACTCAGGACCAAACAACCACACCGGACTTAAGAAGGCCGCACGGAGATAGCCCGACGCTGAGTTTACTCGGTGAGGAAGAAGCAGAACCGCCAGACCGACCGCCCGACAAAGGTTCAATCAGCTCCTCTCGACGGAGTTGTGACTCACAAAGCACGCAAGCAAAACGCCCGTCAACCATCGCCCGAGAGGGCAAGGCAGCGAGAGGAGAGGAAAATCGATCAGCATGAGACCGACCAACACAACATGCCACTTGAAATTTCTGATTGATTAAGTTTATTTTACGCTTTGACAATGGAGAGCTGACCAAGCTCTTTGAAACGTCGGCAGTTAAATAAACCTGTTCCGGAGAGCCCATCTTCTTCTTCTTCTTCTTCTTCTCCAAATGATACAATCAAGCCCAACCTTCCCGACACGACCGATTCACGTCAACCCCACGGACGCCAAGCTGCATGAATGACTGCCTCCTGGGCCTAGCATTTCCGTTTGTATCGGGAATGACTCATCGTCATCATCCCCGTGCCACACGGTCAGCTGAATCGGAGCGAGTCCGCGTGCAGAGGACAGCTGGAATCTCATTGGTTGTCCCGCCCCACCGCTTAAATAAGGCCACCCAATGGCGTACGCGCAGAGGGCTTAGCGTCGCTGCGACGACTAGCAAGGCCTGCTTTGCATCATTCATGGACCGGTTCCTCGGCACGTGGAAGCTGCAGAGGAGTGAGGGGTTTGCGGACTTTCTGGGACGTCTGGGGGTGCCCTACCTGATTTGCAAATTTGCGAGTATGCTACCGACCACGTTAAATGTTACACAGGAGGGCGATAAATACACCGTAGAGACGATTACCACGTTCAGAAAGAAGACGGCCACTTTTCGCCTGGGGGAACCATTCGACGAAGTCAGTATGGGCGGCACGCCGATCCGGGTAGGAAGTTCCCCTTCCAGGGTCTTATACTGTCACAGTCGATAGCCAAACTTGTCGGCGACGTTCTATGTTTTGAACAGAGGAGTGTCAAGCCGACAAGTTCCTCCTGGAAGGTGGAGAATGACATATTAACTACCGTACGTCCCTTCCAAATAGTTTTTTTATTTTTATCCGTATTTTGGCTGTCGTAAGTCACACTGATTAACTAGCGTTAATGCGTCGCCTTCCTTTTGCGCGACCTGTCCATTCGAGAGCCACGGGCCTCAAGACATTAGTCTGACTTGAGCTGTAGAATGTTTTGCGATCACCTAATTTTGATCAGCCCTTTTCAAGTTGCATGCACGTTCGTGATTTACTTTCTTTACAGACTAAACATTCCGTGTCATTTTATTTTAGACGCTGAAGGTGGAGGATGTCATTGCGCACCGAGTATACAGGCGGGCCTCATAGGCTACCAGGGTAAGGCTCTCGGCACTGTCCCCATTCTTCCACCTTTTTGCTGTTGAAAAATGTGCGTTCTTATCGAAGGATATAGGTGACCGGTTAAGCTGTGGCGGACTCACGGAGAGAGAGAGAGAGATATGAGTGGCCTGTTTTCTGCAATAAACCCTTGTATTAAGCCTGTGCCCTCAAACGACAGTTCGAACGCCGTTGCCGACAATTTCCACTGTGTGCTCCATAGCAGGGTGAGAGCAGGCACGGTGAACTGTGTGTGGATCAGTTTGTGGTGATAGTAGACTTGCACAGCATCTACCGCACTCTATCCTCCCCCACCTGGGCCTGGTGTCAAGGCGGGAGAGGGTGCAGGTGGCTGACACGGTGTAAACGCGCACCTAGGTGTGCCACCGCACCTTCTGGCCCACAATGGACATTGATCTTGATTTTACACCACAACAGAGCAGGCAGCACGGATCTTAATTGGCACGACCTGAGCCGGGAACTGGACCTCCCGCCACCCCAATGCTGGTATTCGTTATGGATGCACATTTCCGGTAACGTCTGCCGGACTCCGATCTAGCCCCAGTGTTGGTCCAGCGCGTTTATCGCGTGGCCCGTTTTAAGAGCAGAACAATACAATTGAATCGCGGTTTAATGCTGCGGGTTACGTCTTGAAGGTCGATGACTCTGCTTTGACACCGCAATCATCGAACTGAAATCAGTCTTATGGCTGACGGGCGGACACTGGTGAGCGAGCTGTCGTCGGCACAAACGGGTGTAACCTGAACTAATCAGGGATTTTCGTCAGCCGGAATCATTGTGACGGACTATATCACTTCAAGGCCTACATTTAAATGGGAATTTATGAGAAAACACAACATTTAACTTGTTCGCCCCATCCTTTCGGACCGGCTTTCGCAGGTGGTCGCATAGCAACATGCAACACGCGAGAAACGCTACAAACCGCAGCCACATTGGACTGACCACTTCGAGCTTGTTTGCCACCGACTGCGTGCTATGAAAAACCGCAAATTTAAACTTAGGCTCCGAAGCGGAGCATTGGGGTAAAACGGACCGCCCCTTTCCGTCTTGCAATCAGGTCGTGTCGGCGATACCACCCCCGCGCGTAAAACCTCCCTCAGGGAAAAGTATACCGCGAAATCCATACGTTGTTTTAGGGAGACATTGGTGGCGGCAATCTTTTGCTGGTGTGGTTGCTCCCAGCTCTCACGGCCTACTTCTTATGGCGACTGACTCAGCTGGCTCCGTGTTGTCGGTCCTCCGCACCACTAACAATTGCCTTTCGTTGCAGTAGGTCAACGGCAAACCTCCGAGCGAATTTGAGCCGGTCGACACTCCAGCTTCGAAGACCGCTCAAGTTAGACGTTCACCGGCATGGAGAAGGGCTCCCCGTTGTCATAACTGCTGGCTACCCGGTGCGTTCACGTGTGGTGGCTAGTAGAACGACCCTCAGCGATGGCTAGCTGTGAAATAAGCGGGCTCTCGTGTCTAAAAAACAAGCGGTTGCCCGCAAAATCGACAGGACTACGACGGCGCGGACGGCTGAAATGCCGCAAAGTCCGATGACGGTAGTGCGTCGTCGCGACCGTAAAATCGCCGGCAAGTGAGTTTCCTAGCCGCCGCAACCAGGTGGTAAGGTTTCTGAGACAAAGTTCTAGAAGAGATAACCGCATATACTCAACATTCCCAAGAAACTTCATGAAAAATGTTCGATCCAAGTATTACGATCCACGCTATTGCGTCCCCGGAAACTGATGAGCTCCGCAGCTCTGGCCCAGTGGTAGGGGACAAATAATATGCGAGCTGGACTACTCAGACGACCATGGACACTGGATTTCAGAATGCACGAATATTCATAAGTCCAGGTATTCAATGTCCGATGGCGCGCATTCACAAGTACAACGCGGACGTATTCTGACTGAAGCCCGGATCTTTTTTCAGGTCATCCAAAAAGGCGACAAAGGTAGTTTGGACACGCCCTTCGTAAGCCGTTTCATGAGCTCCGTGTTGTCGTCCTCGATCCGGGGCCGTCGCACAACCTGAGGCGTCGAAGACGAGACCAACTCAAGACTTGGCGCAATACAGTTTAGCCAGACATGGAGGAGCTTCTTGAACCGTCTGTATCCGGTCTCCATTGCTGGAGAAGAGTATAGACCTACCTCTCTAGATCCGTTGCCACAGATCGCCACTCGTGGAGAGGTAACGTCGCGGCATTATCGAAGCCAGCTGAATTAGGCATGACGACAATCGCACCTAGTGCATCCACTCTTGTCTTCATGAATGCTTGAATTCCAGGTGTCGTCTTCGTTTGCACACATCAATGTCGTTACCAGCCAGGACCTGATTCGGGCGGGCGATATCCCAGGCGATCTCCCTTTCGGGTCGGAGCTGCACACGGCTGACCGATCTCATTCGGTTAGTATGAAGAGCTCAGTTGTAAGTTTGACCTTCTAACCGACTGGATGGGTTTTCTTCAGAGGCATGGTTAGACAGATGAATTCAAAGAGTCAGGCGCCAGAGTATTTATATTAAAATAGTATCTTTTGGGTCGCATAGACCAAATGCCACATCTTCGTAGGATGGTTGTCCTGACGGAAGCCTCCTATATTCGCGACTTGACCACCCGACTGAACTCATGCCGATATCAGAGATTTCAACGAAATCGAATAAAAGCCACATGCTCCTAGTAGATACGATGGTCGCTTTTCTCCCTACCTGATCTGTTTGGCAGAAAGCTCGGTCCAAGTTAGCAGATGTCGGCTAACTCAACAACTTCACCGCATGCCACGACTTGGCAGCTGTATCCGACTGTGAAAACCTGGAAAGTGGTCACCACCGTGGAGAAATGGATTTTTATGTCCATAATGGCTGCCTTCACACGTGTCTGGGATCTCGCGATGCGAGGGAGCTAGCCGGCTCCACAACGTCATTAACAAGGTCAAGATCTGTAACACATGACTCTCGACCTACGAGGTGGCCTACCAGCGCGTTCTGAAGAACCCTGATGAGAGAACACAGCCCGAATGGGCGTCATCCACACGTACAGTAGGTGGGCTAACTCATGAAATTTCAACCGGAATTCCGAAATGCGTTTTCGTTTCGAAAAGATTGATTAAGTAGGGTTGTAAAACTGATCATCTTGCAGCATAATTACATAATAATTCAATTACCTCAGGATGCCGGCTTTCGAACGAACTTCTTTCCGGCTGCATGCAAAAACTATACTCTGTAAAAATGACTACTTAAGTGGCATGACATTTCTTCCTTTTTGATGCCTTTAAATATTCAGTTATATTTCATGGAAAACATGCATAAAATATTCATTCTTTTGCTCATTCGGTAGAAAATTACGTCTTCTTTCAATTGTATACTCGAAGGAATGGTATAATTCGGTTTTCAAAAACTTTTGCAATTCCCGAATAATTTTGAACCGCGACCTGCCGTTACACTTTCATTCAGGGTTTCAAAACTACAAGCCGTATACTTCCCGCGTACGGAAATCCTTACATTTCTCTACGGTATTAAGAAGAGATCATGTGCGGTTCATAAAATTTAGCAGTGGATTGGAGCCATATTGTTGACTTTACAAGCCACATTGGTTAGTGCAGAGACATGACGTTTTGTGAACGTCCATTTCACAGTATCAGGAGATCTCATGATTAGAAATTTTTTAAAAGCGAATTATACCCTTCCTTTGAGTATAAAATTGGAAGAAGACGTGATTTTCTACCGAATGAACACAGGAATGAATATTTGTATGCATGTTTTCCATGAAATATACTTGAATTTTCAAGGGCATCGAAAATAAATAAGGAACTTGCATGCTACTTATGCAGCCATTTTTACAGAGTATAGTTTTTAATACAGCCGGAAAGGAGTTCGTTCGAAAGCCGGCATCCTGAGGTAACCGGATTTTTATAGAATTACGCTGCATGATGATTAGTTTCACAAGTCTGCATAATTAACCTTTTCGAGACGAAAAAACGCATTTCGGAATTTCGGTTGACATTTCATGAGTTAGCCCACGTACTTTACTTTGATCCCTTTTTCGTGACAGAGTGCGTGAATTGATTAAAGTGACCTAAATGGTATCGCATGAGGCAGCATAATCGAAGGCAATGTCCCGGTAGACAGTGAATATGCGTGAGTGGGTTGTTGATTACCGTGCAGATACTTGGCGGTTGGATGCTGCGGCAACGTCAAGAAGCTTTATACATTTAAATCATACACACCGATTTGTCGCCCTGCATGAAGATGAACCCCCCAAAGGCTTCGCTCCGACCAGTGTGATACAGTGTATACTTCCTATGGTGGTAGAGGGGCGCTCATCGATCGTTTCTACTGAACTCACTCGTCCCGTTGTGCCTTACGGGCTCTTTCCCGAGCCCAACCAGCAGCCGCACAGCGGCGCATGATATAGGCGGAATGCTATCACCGACAAAGACAAGGGAGACAGGGATGGCCACTTCTGGCTTACTAGCCGTCGTCAGCCAGTCATACCCAAACCCTAAGTGTGGAACACCTGGGAGCTACAGCTTGACAAATCTCCGAACTTCACATTTGGTGTTCCTTTCAGACTATAAAATTGAACATGTTAAGTAATACCCATCCCCCCAAGGGAAGTAATTTATGCCAGCATGTTTCGACACTGCATGTCTTGAAAAGATGCAAAAAAGGCTATTGGAACTGCCCTGTGATTGACCCAGTTGGAAGTTTTTCGTATCATCTACCATCCCTCAAAAGGATCTGCCGGTTCGACTAGCTTTCCCCCTTTTGGTGAATGGAGTAGTATACGCCCTTGTTAGGCCCCGCCAGGATGTCGTCAAACACGTATCCGTCGGCGTTTTGACTTTCAGCTTTATTCTGACAGCTGAAGGTGGGGCTCTAGCGCATTGGCTGTGCCACACTTAATTAATTCACGGCTCCTTATAACTGAAGTCGCTAACACCAAAGCCCTGTCTACGTACAAACGATGGAGAATTTTCTCGGTT